ACTTGGGGAAGCACAGGAAATGTTTTTATTTCATGAGGGTTAGATTATGCCCTGCCTTGTATAGACATGCAGTAAGGGAAAGTAGTTAACAGGTAGAGGCATGGCCCTTTTGCTCTGTCTATAAAAGTTTCTTACATGCCCTTAGGTATCATAGTAGCCTATCGCTTTCCAATTTTTCATGTATTTTCCCTAACAACATCCCTGTATGGCAGGGCAGAGCCATTATACCCACAGTACAACTGGGGCAACTGAGGCACAGAAAGTCTAAGGGTATGTCTACACTACCCCGCTAGTTCGAACTAGCGGGGTAATGTAGTCATACCGCACTTGCAAATGAAGCCCGGGATTTGAATTTCCCGGGCTTCATTTGCATAAGCGGGGAGCCACCATTTTAAAAACCCCGCTGGTTCGAACCCCGTGCAGCGCGGCTACACGGGGCTCAAACTAGGTAGTTTGAACTAGGCTTCCTACATCGTTCGTTCAGTTCAATATTTAATAGATGTGAAAACCTAATATCAAGGTACAGATGTGAACAATTGGTTTCAAATATTCCCTCATACTTTATACCTCAACTTTAAGTCTCTTTGTCATGGCCCCCATCCTTCCCTGATTATAAGGTCTATGAGGGTATGTCTACACTACCCTCCTAGTTCGAACTAGGAGGGTAGTGTAGACATACCCTAAGTGACTTGCCCAAGGTCACACACGGAGCCTCTGGAGTAGCAAGAAACTGAATCTAGGTTCACTGAGTGCCAGACGAGTGCAATAACCATCATCCCTCTCCCCTTGATCTCCGTCAACCCTAGGGCAGGCAGGCGGGCGATTTAAACTTCACAAAGGAAACAAAGAAAAGGCCAATGGCCAGGTCTTGCTTCTGTGCCATCTGGAGGGGATGGGGAATGCAAGCTGCACCCTCTTCCTGGGTGTGGCACGGCCCACTAAGGCTCAAAACCCTCACATCGGGGAGCTGCTGCCAGTGGTTAATGACTTAAAGCCACAATCTGTTCTCCAGCATAGTCCCTGTCTGAGCACTGAAACACAGCACAACAACCTGCTTAGAAAAAGGCTGGACTTTTAAAGAAAGCAGACACCTGAATGAAACTGCAAACTAGGCATTTCAATGAGCTAGGGGCCCTGTCACATTACAAACACGGATGTTTAGCACTCTTTAACCAGACCTCCTCTGATCTGACCCTCACCTGATTGGCACAGCATGTGTTTTGGTTCCCATCTTTTCTGGCACACAGTATTTTTGTAAGCCTACGGCAATATGGACAATAATGTAGAAAGTCAAAAGCTAATAGGATGGCATGGAAAAAAATTAACGAATTAAAAATTCAGCAACTGGATTATGCGACTCTGTGCCTTTCTGAATGCAGCTCTGCTTATCACAGCTGGTCAATGATACACAGAGGCTACCAAAGATAGACATGTTTAAATAGACAGGGTGGCTGATATCAATGTTTTTAACTCTGCGGGTCCAAATAACTTGCAGCCAAGAGTTCTAGAAGAGCTGGCTGAAGAGCTCACTGGACTGTTAATGCAGATTTTTAATAAGTCTTGGAGCACTGGAAAAGTTCCAGAAGAAGGGAAGAAATCCGAAGTTGTACCTATTTTTGAAAAGGGCAAGCAAGATGACTCAGGTAATTATAGGCTGGTCAGCCTGACATGGATTGCAGGCAGGATAATGGAGCAGCTGACGGAGAACTCAATTAATAGAACTAAGAACTAAAAGAAGGAGAAAGTAATTAATGCAAATCAGCATGGGTTTATGGAAAATACATCTTATCAAACTTGCTATCTCTATCTGATGATATAACAAGCTTGGCTGATAAAGGTAAGAGTATTCACTCAACAGACCTGGACTTCTGTGAGGTGTTTGACTTGGTACCATACAATGTTTTGATTAAAAAACTAGACTGATATAAAATTAATGTGCTACACATTAAATGGGTTAAAAGTGACTGATCTCAAAATATGAATGCAAATAGGGAATTGACCATCAAGTGGCTATATTTCAAGCGCAATTCCACTGGGATTGGTTCTTGACCCTGTGCAATTTAACATAACAGTCACCAATAATAAAGTTTGCAGTCGACACAAAAATTGGGGAAGTGGTAAATAATGACTAGGACAATTCACTGATGCTGAGCCACCTGGATTGCTTGGTATACATCTAGTAACAAAGACTGTGGGCCATACTTACTTGCCGGGGGACCCTATCTGGACCTCTGAAAAAGATCTGGGAGTTATGGTAAATGATCACCTGAACATGAACTCCCAGTGTGCCACACAAATGGGGAAACTCAAGGAAGTGTGGAGAGGTTTTGTGTGTGCTGCTGCCGGAATACTGTGTCTGGTTCTGGTGCTGACAAATCATAAAGGCTGCTGATAAATGGGAGAGCATTCACAGGAGTACCATGAGAATGGCTAAAGAATTAGAAACATGCTTAACCTGCTTTACAGTGATAGACTCAAGATGCTCGATCTATTTGGCTTGACAAAGAGAAGGTTAGGCAATGACCGGATTGTAGTCTAAGTTCCTACAAGGAGAATGAGTATTTGACACTGGGCTCTTCAGCCTAGCAAAGAAATGTCTAGCATGAGCTAACAGCTAGTCAAATTCAGATTGGAAATAAAGTGTATGTTTTTAACTATGGGAGCAATAAGCCATTGGAACAACCTACCAAGAGTGGTGAAACCTCCATCACTGACAATGTTTGAAACAGACAGGACATTTTTCTAAGGGCTCAGCTTGAGGGTATATTTTGGAGATGTTCTCTGGCCTGTGCTATGCAGGTGGTCAGACTAGATCAGGCATGTCCAAAGTCCGGCCCGCGGGCCAATTGCGGCCCGTGTTGCGGTTTAATACGGCCCCACGGGTAATTTGGCAATATCTATCTTTTATGGCCCCCAATGAATCCATATGTATTGAGATGAATACATTGTAAAATCTCAGTTAAAGTCAGTTGGTCTAAATCAGTTATAAATATATTTGGACACAACATGTATACTTGGTGTTATGTTCCTGTTCATATTTTTTGAACTTAAAAGTTGACAGACAACCTTTATTACCAATAATATGTAATGTACTTTACAATGTTCCTGACATATATTTCAGCTTCCTGGATTTTTTTTTCATCTGGCCTTCAGATATGAAAGGCAGAGTGATTTAACACCTGTTTAGATTTGTCATCCATGTGACGAAATGAAAAGTATGCTGTTTGCAATAAACGTTGCATAAAATAGTTAATTTGCATTTAATTTTAATGGTTCAAAGAATGTCAGGCAAAATGGTCGGCCCTCACGCATGTTCACTTCAGCAAATCTGGCCCTCTTTGAAAAAAGTTTGGACACCCCTGGACTAAATGATCACAAGTGCCCCTTCTGGCCTTGGAATTGTGGGGTACTCAGGGCCCAGCTGCAGCCAGTGGAGGAAAAGAAGCAACCTGTAAAGCACTCTCTCATCATTAGCAGGTGCAGATGAAAGACACATTTCTGGCAAAGGGCAAACCTGAAAGAGGTTCAAGAAGCAGATTCTCTGCTGTAGCCAAAATGTGCTTGGTATAGTTAGCGATCCAGGAGTGAGGCATGAAGCAGCTGGTTATTGCTCCGTGAGTCCCCAGCCACGGCACATGGTAGTGCCTTGGAGGTAACCCTAGCCACCTGGCATGTCTCAGAAGGAAAGCCTGCCAGCTGGGGACAGCTAGTGCACAGCATGTCCTGGCTGTGTTCCTAACACCAGCCCTAAGACCTCCAGAAATTCCTCCCAGTGGGGGAGTTGCAGGCAGTTTCAACGCTAAGGAACTGGAACGTAAGAACGGCCGCACTGCATCACACCAGAGGCCCATCTAGCCCCGTGTCTTGTTTGCCGACAGAGGCCAATGCCAGGAGCTCCAGAGGGAATGAACAGAACAGGCAATCATCAGGACTGTACCTCTGGCCCACCTCAGATCGGAGAAGTATCTGACAGTCCAGATGCCCATCCAAAGAGTGTCCAAACCCTCTGAAACATACTGAGCTGGCAGCCCAGCCAGAGAAGACTTTGAGATTTCAAGCACTCCCTGGTTTGGCCATGCAAGGACAGTTTATCTCACTGTATTTCAGTTTTCCTGCCTCTGGACCCAGCCTGGAGCGCAGCTGGGCACAGAAAAGGCCTTTTAAACAAAATTAAACACAACTTTTCAAACTTCAAAAAGAAAGCAGAGAGATTTGGGTTGGTTCTTACTCTTTCTTCAAATGTTTTATCCCTAAGATAAAGATTTTGTGACAGCTATTTTTAGTAAAAGTCACAGTCACGTCATGGGCAGTAAACAAAAGTTCACCCAAGTCCGTGACTTGCCCCTGACTTTTACTAAAACTGTGACAAAATAGGGAGGGAGGGAAGGAGGGGAGTCCAGAATCCACTGCTGCTGGGGCTTCTAGGTGCACCTTGCTGCCTATAGTTGCTGAGAGTGCCAGAGTCCACCCTGACGCCCCCAGCGGCTCAGACCTGTGAGGCCTGATAGCTCCAGCACCCAGGGCTGAAGTAGAAAATGTTATGGAAATCCCTGAAAACCGGATTCCATGACAAAATCTTAGCCTTATTCAACCCTTGTAATCAACTCCAGCTGTATTACCAAAGGCACCTTTGATAGGCCCATCATCACCATAGGAAGTAGGCATCTCCTACAGCAGTAGTTCTCAAAAGTGTGTCCTCAGTTGCAGGTAGACGCAGGCTTGGGGCTCACTCCTATCTCCCACCAGTGCTGGCAAGAAGTGGGGTGGAGAACTTACCAGCTGGATCTAGCTTGCCAGGGAAGGAAGCGGCTTCCTGCACTGCTACTCCGCCTCCCCACAGCTGGAAGCTGCTCTCCTGGAGGCTTTCCCCACAGCTCCCATTGGCTGGAATCACAGCCAATGGGAGCAGCATGAGGCACAAAGCCAGGTAAGCAGCCCCCACCCTCTTCATGCTCAGACCCTGCACCTCATCACACTCATCTTCCCACTGAACCCTCCCTCTCCCCCGCCTGCACTTTCTACCCTCAGCCCGCTCCTGCACCCATTTTGTCATCTTGGGTGTTTGGCTGGTGATCCATAGAAAGGTCTGCGTTGAGTAGGGTGGGTCACGGGCCAAAAAGTTTGAGAACCTCTGTCCTTCGATACGTCTGCAGAGCACGGGCTTGCTTTACACAAGCCTGCTGCAGATCTCCAGTCAGGTCTGACGAGAGATCTGGCCATGCAGATGCCAGAGTGAGGCACATATGTGCCTCAGTTGCTCATGTGTAAGACACAGATGACAGCACTTTTCCTCACTCACAGGACTGTCAGGTGCTCAAATTGCCCTCATCATGATAGTATCTGGATTACAATTCAGTAAACAAAGACAGCGCCTGTATTTCGTAATACTGGCTTTTCAGAAAACAGGGAGACTCTGAAACAAATAACAATCCTATAGCAACGCTTGCCAGTGTTGGGTGGATGTACTCCTGGAGATTGCATCACATGACAAACTTTAATTAAATATTAATCTTTAATTCCTGGAGACTCCAGGACAATCCGGGAGGGTTGGAAACCCCTCAGCAACCAGAACCGTTCTGGCTCTTCATGGTAACTTCCTGCATGGGTCAAAAACAATACAGCTGTGCTTGAGACTATAGTGACACCTACAGGACAACATGGTTTGTAACCTCTTTTCGAGGAAATAATCCCAGCAGAGACATCAACAGCCCCTAAAAAGCACAACCACCAACCTCCACAAAACAAACAAACAAACAAACAAGCCTCTGCAAATTTTGGGTCAGAAAAATAAGCCGCTTCCTTGATAACACTCCAAGGAATTACTGCTTGTGCCACGTAACACAGAACGAGCCCCACAAAGTTATTTGATTAGGTAAAAGGGTAGGCAGAAATGTTTGCCTACTTGTAGCTTCATTAAGCAACTTCAAACTCCTCTGAGAGCTAATGTCAAACCCTACAGTTGACATGTTTGCGTGGGATGGGGTGGAGAGCTGCCCAGCCCTCTGGGAAAGCAGAAATGGGGGAATGTCAGTAGCTCCGTCAGAGCTGCCACAACTAGTATGTTCTGAAAAGCTTATGCACCAAAAAGAGTTTGCCCAAAGGCAGAGATCAGGTGCTGTGGAACATGCCAGGCAAACAGGTTACTGGAGCTGGGAAGGGCTGGCAAGTGAACTGAGCCTCCTGGGAGAGGGAAAAGGTTAGTAGTGTCACATGATCTTCTGTACCAGGGAACTGCAGGGCAGCACGAAGGCTGTGACGTAATCAGATTTCTAAGAGAGGCGAATGTTGGGAGACAGCAGCTGCCCTGTAGGACTGGACCATGACCCTACTTAGTACAGTATCCTGCTCTCTGCTAAGGCCAATAATCAGTGATTCAGAGGAAAAGGATGCTGCTCCTTGCCATGTACCCGAACAGGGGAAGTTTGTTCTGGACTGAAGGCATTTAAGACTCTTCTAATCACTAAATTACCCAGCCATTACATCATGCTTTCAAAAATCCCGCTGGACTGAACTGCAGGCTCTCTATGCTCCACAGATCAGTACCATTTCCTGGCCACACCCGTTGCAGAGTCTAGTTTAAACTCTGCCTCAAAAGACAGTTCCAGCTCTCAGTGGAGGTGGCACAAGTTGGTTTTTGTTGTGTTTTGCTTTTGTTTTTTTTACAAAGCCCTGTCTGAGCAGTTTGGTCTCTCCCTTGCTGGCCTGCAAAACTGCTAGGAATCTTCTCAGCTAGAATGGGGTTGAACCAATGCCAACCATCATTGCCCAAGCCAAAAACCAGGGGCAGCATCACTAGATGGGGGGAGCCTGGGACATGGCTGTGCAATGGGCAACAGTGGGAGCAAAGTAAAGATTAGGCTGTGAGTGATGGTGGAGTGGGCTCTGGGTGTTGCACATCGGTCAGGGCTCAGGTGCACTTGCAAATCTGCACCAGGCTCCAGAGGGGAAATGAGATTGAAGAAGCAGGCAAGGGTGAAGGGGCGGGACTGTGGAACCAGTGCAGTGTGAAGGAGGGTTAGTGTGCACTGCTGTTTAGTCAAGACCTTGGAATTTGGTGGCACTTTCCCATGCGTATTTGCTGAGGCATGTTGGGGGCAGCACAGAGGCAGCCTCCGAGTGTTTGGCCAGGCACTCACAGCCCAGCCTCGCAGGATCCTTCAGCAGCGCATCCTCTTGAGACTGCAGAGGTCACCAGATGAGTATTTCTATCCCACAGGTGTACGGTCCATTCTGATTGCCTCTCTCAGCTTTCCTCTGAGATCAGCTCAGGCTCCTTGGCTTGGCTATTCCTTTTCCGGCCAGGAAAGGAGCTTCCGACTATGAAACCAGAAAGCAACTTGTCTTTAAGTCTTTCTATCGTTTATAGAGACTGCTCTGGCTCTCCAGTAAATTCTCCCCATGCTCTTCCAGGTCTCTCTACTGCCTGAGTCATTTCCCCTGATAAAACCGAACAAGGAAATAGGCCTTCGCTATTCCAGCTGTACTGTTTGTGGAGCCAGGAGACCTGGCTGCTCTTCCAGGCTAAGCCATTGACCTGCTGGGTGATCTCAGGCAAATCACATCTCCCCGTAACACTGGAGCTAGGTGGTATCTGATGGGGCATGTGGACCACGGGGTTTGATTCAGGCCCACTGCTACAATGTAAAAGTGCTATTTTACTCTTTACCCAGCAATCTGTGTGTGTGCTGGTTTGAACTGAGGCTCATTTTAGCGATGGAACATGCCGCGCTGGTTTTACCCGTAGCATTCACAATGTGTGAGGTGTTGTGTACACAGCCAGCGCCAACTGGATATCAGAAGCTTTTCTTCCAGGCCTATAGAACTGGGGACCAATGGTACCAGGATGCTGGGAACAAACCAAGGATGCCGGAAAGAGCTACTTTTTCTAAACACAGTTCTCAAGTCTTCAGATACAAGACGTTCCCCTTCCTGTCTAACACAAGAGTTGCCAAAGAAAGGAGTCAATTGCCACTAAATTCAGGTTTAAGCTCATCCCACACCCTACTCACAAAGTGTTCCCTTATGGATCCCGTTGTCTGAGCTGCAGAGCGCTGCTCATTTGGAATAATGGCTGCACATGTGCCAGTGTGTTACGAAACGGTCACTCAGCAAGGCAAGACCGTGCATGCTGGCTTGTTGTTGGAGGGCTGCACTCGCTGCTTTGTCATGGGATGATCACTTGGGAGCCCCAGGGGCTGCTGGGATGGAAATGACTCTGGAGCATTAGTTCTGGACTCTCTGATCCCAGCAGCCAAAAGAATTCGTAGGCTTTGAAAGTGGAGATTAAATTTTAAAAAAAGGAAAAGAAACAAACCTACCAACCAGCTTTGAGTTCCTTTTCCAAGGCAAGGCCTAGGCTGTTCATTACGAGCTAAAAGTGCCATCCGCTGCTTGGAGAAGTTGTATTTTTATCATATGCATTTGCAGCTCCAACAAAATGAGATGCTGGCAATTGTGATTCCCTCCATGGTAGGTTCCCATATCTGTTTCTTGCTCACACTGATGAGCCAATAATCTCTGCTCGACCATTTGTGGAAACCAACATCTCTGCAAACTCAGGCCCCAACCCCCTTTCTGGTGGTCTCCAGGTGAAATCCTCTACCAGCAATGGATGCCCCAGTGACCATCGGCAGAGCTCAGGGGCTGAGAAATGCAGTGGAAGGCCAGGTTCCTGTTACCATGCAGAGTTCCAGCAGATGACTCAGCAAGAAACTCAAGGGAGATGCACGCTGGGACAAGCAAAGTCCTTCTTGTTGCTGCTGTCACCTGCTTTATGTTTCTGGATGTGTAGGAACCTTGGCCTGTTGGAGACAAGAATGAACAGGGCATTACGTTTTGCCAGAGAGTAGGAATCCACACCCACCACATAAAGCCACAATTTATTAACCATGGAGGATAATCCCATTAGATCATGTCAATATTAAGGAGCATTGGGAACACTTGGCAGTTTGAGGAATTTGAAGGGTGCAGGTGTTTAGGGAGGGAATGCGCTAACCTGGTGACGCTGTACCCAGGGCTGGATTTCACTGCACAAAGTTAGAGGGACCAGTCGGAGGAAGAGAGAAGGGGGGTTACTCACCTCTGCAGTAACTGACATTCTTCAAGGTGAGTGTTCCTGTGGGTGCTCCACCCCTGCCAAGATGCGTCCCAGAGCCTTTGATCAGAGATTTTACAGCAGTGCTCCCCCCGCCACCCAGAGATGCGCATGCACAGTGTCTGCCCCACAAGCGCTCATTGGTTGAGTAGTGCCTAAGCTCGGGGCTCCTCAGTTCCTTCTCGACAATGGAGTAAGATACAGTTCCAAAGCAGAGGGGGTGAGGGTGGATTGTGGAGCACCCATAGGGACACTCATCTCGAAGAACACCAGTTACTGCTCAGATAAGCAACCTCCTCGTCTCCTCTGAGAGATGTCCCCTGTGGGTGCTCCACTCAGGTGACTGTGAAGCAGTACAGAATGCTTGGGACTTCAAGGAGGCAAAAAGGCTGCGGACACGATCGCTCTGGCCATTCTAGTGTCCACTGCTGGGCCTTATAAAAGTGTGTAACGTTTAACAAGTGTGAGGGATGATGCCCATGTGGCTGCCATGTAAATGTCAGATATGGGTGCATAGCCTCGGAAGGCAGAGGAAGTGGAAACAGCACATGTGCAGTGTGCCCTGATGACTCATAAGGACTTGTTTCTACTGGTAGCATAATCGTATGCAGTTGACCACTCATTTCGATGGGCCAATTTGCTGATGCTGGGGGCGGGACGTTGCTGGGCTCTAGGCCTCCAGCGCTGAGCACATGTATCGTACCAACAACTGTTGCCGATGTGTGTAATATCGTGGGCGCTGAGACAGCTGATACCTTTATTGCCTCTTTTTTGTATGAAGTGTCTGGGTGACCAATGACCTGAGTGTGGCATGGGAATCCTTCGAGTGCAGCACCTCGGTGGTGCTTGCTGCAAAGATTTTATCTCCTTCAAATGGCAGGGCTTCAACTGCGGTTTGGCTCTCTTCTGGGAAGGGAGAGGAAGAGAACCATGAAATATAGCACATAACAAGGGCTCTGGACCTAGCTGATGTGTCCACTATGTCGAATGCAGCTTGAAGAGATCAGCTGGCCTTCAGAATTCAGAGCCTGGTACTGTTGGTCTCTCTTCATCTGGAATGTGTTCAACAAAGGAATTTAATTTCATATAGTTTTTGTGATCGTATTTCGCCAGGAGCACCGCATAGTTTGCCACTCTGAATTGTAGCGCGGATGAAGAATATAACTTTGCGGCCAAAGGAGTCCATGCGGTTTTTGTCCTTGTCCGGATGGGACAGACTGAAACTGTTGCTGCTTATATGTTCTGGTTGGCTGCCTCGACTACTAGAGAATTGGCTGCTGGGTGTTTGAAAAGGAACTCAGTACCCTTTGCAGGAATGGCGTATTTTCAAGTCCATCTTCTTGCCGGTAGGTGTGCTTTGGCTAGTTGCAGGATGGCTGCATGCATAAGCAGCACTAGTGACTGAAGAATATCAGTGAGCTTATGCTGAGTTTTGGAGACTTCCTTCAGCATGATGCTGAGCTCATCCACCACTCTTTTAAAAAGACCTTGAAAAGGTTTAGTTTTATCCGCGGATGCAGGTGTTTGAGGCAAGGTGTCTTCTTGTGATAATGCAGCTAGTTGGTCAAGTGTAGCTGATGAAATAGCTTCCTCTGCCTGCTCCTGTATTGTTTCCAGTGGTAGCTGTTCTTCAGCGCCAGGTACAGTAGGAGGTGCCAATGTGTCCTGTCTCTTAGGTGCATGCCAGGAGCTGTGCCTCCTCTTATGGGGTTCCCATGTACCTCAGGATGGCCAATGGGAGGGAAATGGCCTAGATGACCCCAACGAAGGAGGAGACCACCATGTTGGAAACTGTGGCGCATGTGGAAGCTGTTTGTATGTCTCCCCAAGTGCCAGTGCAATGGGCGGGGAGGGAGAGTCTAAGGACTGGTGGCCTTAGCTGTCATCATCCTCTGCACTGGAAGTGGGGACTAAGCGGTTGGAGGGGACTAAGTAATTAGGAATTGGACCTGGCGATAAGTCAGTGTCCAGGAGGGAGCTCTCAGTAAGCGGTAAATTGCAGGAGTCCTTCAGGAGCTTTAAGTGCAGCTTGCAGTCTTTCCGAGCCCTGGCCTTAAGTTTATTACAGTGTAAACATTTTAGGGATACATGGGACACCCCAAGTAGCATATACACTGCGAGTGAACATCTCAAATAGGGAAAGCCTCATGGCATGAGAATTACCTCTTGAACCCTGGGGAGCCAGGCATAGCAGTAAGAGGAAGTAAAAATGGAGGGTTTTTTTTTTTAAATATGGAGAACAAAATGTAAGTTTTTGATGTAGGATATGGGGAATGGGTAGGATCCTACTAAATTCACAGCCATGAAAAATTGATCAGATTTATCTACTCTACTGCCACTATTCCTAGCCGGAGGAGAGAGAGGTTAGAGGAAAAGCAGAAAGGCAACTTGAAGTAGCAGAGCTGCTACACTCCGTTTCCAGCTGGCAATGGTAGAGAAGGAACTGAGGAGCCCTGAGCCATGCACACGCTACTCAACCAATGACAGCATTGAGGGGTAGACACTGCGTGTGCGCAGCTCTGGGGCAAGGAGGAGCACCGCTGTAAAATCTCCGCTCAAAGGCACTGGGACGCGCCGTGACCAGGGACAGCTCTTGAAAGAGAACACTTACTTGCCACAGAAGTCCTTGTGGGTGGCAGAGATGGAGAGGGACAGTTCAGGGTGACTCTGCAGCCAGTTCTCCACCATCTCGGGGTGTCTGGGATCCACTTCTAGAAACACACTTCTGAAAACACAGGTGTGGGGAGAAGGACGGGAACAAACACGTTTTGTTTGACAAGCATGGAAATCTCAGACTCCCTTTCCTAGGATGGTCTGGATAACTCCAAGGAAGGACCCAGCTGAACAGACTGTGTGGCCTATGAGACTCTGGAACCCAGGAACCCAACAGCCAACTGCACTGGGCTGTCCAAGCAATGTGGTCATGGAGCTAACAAATGTAAGATACTAAAGAAACTGTTACTTACAGCGAGTAAGGGCTGAGATCAACAGGACTCCTCCTAGAGCTAGGAACTATTCAACCTGCGTTAATTAAAGCATAGCCCCGAGAAGCAGGCATGGGATTATGGCTTCCTGGAGACACCAGAGATTCAGGGTAAAGGCAGGCTGCTGGCACAGGGCAAGCTCTTGGCCACCCACTGTAAGTGAATGATGGCAGCAACAATCTTCTTCCATCAGTTGGGAGGCACCAAATCCCCATGAGGGATACTCAAAAAAATAACTGCATCTGCAAGACATCCCCATCAAGATGCTTGGGGCCTTGCACAGGAAATGTTTTAGCTCAGTCTGGGTATGTCTACACTACCCCGCTAGTTCGAACTAGCGGGGTAGTGTAGACATACCCTCTGATAGAATCACCCTCATAAAACAACCAATCATAAGAACATACAAAAGCCCACAATGGGTCAGACCAAAAGTCCATCCAGCCCACTATCCAGAAGGAATGAACAAAACAGGGAATCGTCAAGTGTTACTCACTCCCAGTTTCTGACAAACAGAGGCTAGGGTCTCCATTCCTGACCATGCTGGCTAATAGCCATTGATGGACCTATCCTCCAAGAACGTATCTAGCTCATTTTTTAACCCTGTTATAGTCTTGGGCTTCACAACATCTTCCGGCAAGGAGTTCCACAAATTGAATTATACAAAAGAGAGAGGGAGAGGGAGAATGGATCTAGATAGGAGGAAATATGGTCTAGAGGTTAGACCACTAGCCTGAGACTTGGGAGACTGAAAAATTCCCCTTTTTGCTACAGGCTCTGTGTGACATTGGTCAAGTCTCTCCGGGACTCAGTTCCCCTTCTCTAAAAAGGAAATGGGAATGCTGCCCTGATTCACTAGCACCTGGATACCATGGTAATGAGGGCTAAGTCCCAACATGCACAGAGATGAGGAAAACAGGGACTGGGTAATGACAGAGGCAATTGCACTATGAGCAACCATGATCCTGAAGCATGAGGATGAGGGGATAAGAACCGTCCAGACCTCAGATTCATGGGGTTCTGAGTTCCCTTTCACTGCATTTTCACACCAAGGTAGCTGCACTGAGGCCAAGAGCATGAACTCCTAAGTTACATCACCAGTGTGACATCTCCAGGATGTTTGTGTGAATCTGGTCACCAGAAAAGAGGTGCTCTCCACAGGAAGGGCACAGTCCAGTTTCCTCTGGACAGGGACCCAACTCAAAAAGGACACTACCCTGACAGCTGTCTCAGCAGAGAAGGCAAAATCTAGCTGGGCCTGGACTCTAGACGCTACCTTGCATCCCTTGATGTGGGCATAGCAGGGAATGGGGCTGGAGAATTGTGCTGCAGCTGCTCATGCTGTTTTGGCTTGGTGGATACTTAGGGGGTGTCAGTTTCCAGAACTATCAACCCAGCAGCTCTCAGGAGCTGTAAATTCATTCCTGGATCAAACTAGGGACCTTGGACTAGAAAGCTCTCCATGTACACAGGCAGTGCCTTTATAGCTATCACTGACCTATCTGAACTCACCCCTCGTCTGCTGGAATGGATCGCAGATGTACACTACAAGATGAACCACCAAAAAAGAACTAAACCCCAACCACGTGCTCCTCAGAAATTCCCCAAGTCTTCCCACATTGAACACCTCCTTTACCTCAGCCAAATGAATCACCCGCCTGGATGTCGTGCCTCATTACCAACCATAAAAACTCCCTCCCGTCAACATCAGCGCCATCTTAAAATATAGAATAGGCACTCTACGGAGCTTTAATCCTGGGAAGCCCCAAAGAGGATTTTGTGCTTCCATGGCTGCATCCCTGGGGCACAATGACAATGAAGATTCCTGCTCCACCATTCCACAACAGGACATTTGCAGGGAATTCTCTTGGGCTGGCAAAAAGGCAGGACTGTCACACAAGACACTGAGACTGTCCTGGCTAGGTAGAGGGCCACAGTTATGATCTCTAATATCCCATGAGAGACATCGCAAAGTAGTGAATGGAAGCAGGGACTCTCCTGGTCACATATCATGCAGATTAATCCTTGAAGAAATAACCCCTGGGATATTTTTTTTTCTCCTGAGATGTTTTTCCTCCTGAGATGTTTTAAGGTATCTTACCACAGCCCATAAATATCAATGTCCCACGGATGTCTACAGTGCCTTTGTCTCGAGATAGTTCTCTGCTTAGCTGTTTTCTCCATTTCTGCTCTCCCTTTTCATCTCTTCCTCTGCTAGTCTCTTCTCTTTGCTCTTCCTCATGTCTTTAAATTTTAGGTAGCCATCATTCAACAATACCAAATAACTGGGGTCCCCAGCATAGTGCATAATCCCCCCCAGTAGACAGTGTTAATATCAGCAGTTCTTTACTAATGTATGTGGCATCCTTATGTTAACAAGGAATGGCTTTTTTCTGCCTCTCTTTTCTTATGTGCATTTGACTCCCCCTTGTATCTGCTTTTATTTCTGAACGTAAAGAAGCATGAGGTAGGGATAGGCAGCAAAAGTAAAATGTAGAGAGGCAGCAGGGGGTTTTATTACAGAATCAGAACTTACCCAAGATCCTTCAGGATAAAAGGAGCCAGAGCCAGAATTTTTTTGATCACTCTCATCCCATCATTTCCCCCATCCAGGGCATCAAGGTCCTCGTAGCTGGAGGTTGAACACAAGGGATGAAATCCCTCCATTACCGACCTTTACATGCAGCAGTCAGATGTGTTCAGAGCAGCATTGTCCACTGGGAACAAGCACAATAGAGGCTCTGTGCACATGGCACATGAAAGCTACAGCTTGTGGGAGTGTCTTCCAGTGGAAAAGTAACTTTGAAATGTGTAAAAAGGGATGTTTGCAAGACCCTTCCGGTGTTCCAGAGGGGTGGTCTGTGCAACCAGAGGAAAAGGGGTATTCTGGATCTGGTCGTGTTTAATAACAATGGTAGTAGTAATTCTTAGCTCTGCCACAAGCCTTTTACTCTCAGAGTGCTTCATAAAGGTGAATATATATTTTCCCCCCATTTTACTGAGGAAACTGAAGCAGGGTGAGAGTCAGTGACTTGTTTGAGGTGCCACAGCATACTCAGGGTGGATTGTGGACTAAAACCCAGGTCTCCTCACTTGCCATGTGGTGCCCACCACGCTGCCTCTTCAGCCTAAGGGCACTGGCCAGAATTGCAACTCTCTTGGCCAGAAGGCGGCATTATTACTACTCAGTGCTTCAATTAGTGCAATTATGTCACATCCATACATCCACCGGTGCCAGTTGGAAGGGAAAGGTGGATGGGAGAGTTGGCGGCTGGGCATCCTATCACTTTTTCTCCTGGCTCAAGCACCGTGAATAGCCAAGTTGAGCTGCCATCCAGCCTGACACTCTGTAGCACAACCTACCTCGTTCAGAAAAGTTTGAAATTGCATATCATTACGACAGAAAGTTTCTACCTTTCAGGGATTGGCTGCTTTTTGGCATGCCAGACCTTGGACTCGGGAACCCGTTCTAATCCTCAGTTAAATCAACTTTGTGGGAAACTAGCTGGCAAAAAGGAAAATGATGCGTTCCATCCCCGCTCCCTCGTTTTCACACATCTTCTGCTCCTCGGGGTATCAGGTGCCACTCAGAAGCAGGCAAGCTCACCAGGGAACAAATGGGCCAAGGGGAATCTCTACACTAGATCTTAAGGAGAGAAAAACCCAAGATCCTCCGATTGTGCAGGACTGAAAGGGACTAAGCTTCTAAATAAGTGTATCCTCAAGTGGTTGCCCTTTCGGGACTCCCATCTGCCGCTCCCCAACTGCGGCTGACATCTCCTAACTTGTTGGTACTAGAACCTTGATTCTTTCCCACAGAGAACAGAGGAGGGTGAAATAATGCAGGGAAAAGCGAATGCTAGAGAGGTCTTGTCTCACTACCTGAGGATCTCTTCAGCCAGGTGAGCCATGTCTTCATGGAAGACGTAAGGTGGGTTACTGACTATAGTGTCCACAGGACCCCAGGGGAGGAGCTGCTCCCACGAACCTATAGCAGAAAAAGAATGAAAACCAAATATCATCCATAACTATGTCCCTTCAAAGTTCATTACTCAAGTAAAATATTGGTAACAGCAACTCTATAGGCACAGGTCTGTCTCTATCTATTGACAGGATTTAATTTCACATCTTGTGAGGCTAACCTGAATGGGTCTCCCTTCCCAGCTTGAAGGACATAGCTACACTAAGTCCCAGGTGATTCCATCGTGGATAGACAAGCCTGTGCTTATTCATCAAGTGTAGACGTGAGGACATGGGCTGATACTGCGGGTATGTCCCCAAGGTCCTGGGCGGGCATGGACAAGCTATGCTGAAGCCCACGCCACCACATCTACACTGCTATTTTTAGCTATGCGAGACTGGGTCTGTCCACCCAAACTATAAACCCCTCAGGCTGCTGTGTAGACATACTGAAAGAGTGAGCGAGCTAAGCACATGGAAAGAACCAATCAGTCACCCAGACAATGCACTGCAACACAATGCCTGGATGTAGTAGACGACTCAGAATCTAGGTGGATCCAGAATGAAGAATGCTGTGCCCATCCAGGTCTACAAAGAGAATTTTAGGTTGCAGAGAATTAACAGAGTTTGAATTTGGACAGGACACTGGCGAGAACACCCCCAGTCTTCCTTAAAGTGCTAAGGGACCTCTAATGGGCACAAACCATCAGCAGCTCATTTGCATGTGTAAGTATGAGATACCCCACGCTGCAGCACAATGCTATGCACCACCATTGTGGGGCCAGTTGCAGGGAGAAGTGTGTGACATACTAACTCATAAACCCCATTTCCTGCAACACCCTGGTTTTCCTTATGTCTCCCAGCCAAAGAGTGACCAGACCAAACCCAGATTAGCTTAATAAATCTGACAAAGCTGCAGCCTCACATGGACTGGCTATAGGGGAAGGGAAGAAAAGGGAAGGTGTTGAGAACTAGGGAAGAGACCTCTGGAGCTGGGAAGAGGAAGGGGGGGACAGTGGAAGGGCAAGGCGCTGCAAAGGAGGGGAAGAGATGTGGGCAGGGGGAAAAGATCAAATTTGTTTTTCAAAGCTGGAGCAAATTCCTGGAACCCTCCCCTCTCCCCCACATATCCCGGGGGACTCAGAGACGGCATATTTGACACAAAAGGATACGTTTTGAGAAGAGGAGGCTCGAAGTCCATATACAGCCATGTGCGTCAAATGTGATTACCACAACTGTATGCAGTATGAATGCTGCTGGACACACAAAAATCTATTTACCCACTTGCTTACCCCGCTACAGCAACTGCATCTGCAAATTTAAGTGCGTTGTGCACACGTTCTCCTCTGTGCACTGGTGCCGCTGCAAACTGAAAGTCTGGCCAGAGTGCTCTGAAGATGACAACCTGCACTGAAAAATCTGACTCTCAGTAGGTTTCCTCTGCTGCACCAATACTGTACTGACACCTGCTAGTCCACAGCAGCACAGGGACTGGGCGGCCCCTCTCAGGTGCCTGCCTGGTGTGTTATCGACTTGCTGTCAGGCCACATGTACATCATGTGAGGTGAGATCTAAGCGTAGCAACAGACATGTCATGCCAGACCTGTCTCCAGAGTTACCCATCAGCCAGGTTTCTGTCATTCCTGCCCCAGATGCCGACTGTTCTCATGCCCACCTCTCCTCAGGAAAGTAGAATAAAGAAAATATTAGGGATGGTAGAAACATAAGAGAAAATTACCAGAGCAGGCATCGTAGTGGAGAATTCTTATCCTGTCCTGTAGCTGCAACCTTCAGGCCCAAGAACAAAGGAAGGTGAGAGTAAGAGACACGTGTGGGTACACACAATACTACATGCAGGTCATTCAAAGGCACATAATTAAAAGCCAGATATCACACTTACCCATGCAAATCCCCCAGCACCATCTACCACAGGATTACCACTCTGCTCAAAATCTGAGGGAAGTCCCGGGTCTGTTCTCTGCTTGCAGAGCTACAAGTTGGCAGTATTCAAAGCAGCGCATAGCCAGTGCATCCACCAAGAACAGTGCGCATGTTCACTGTGCACCTCAAAACTTCTTTTCAAAACCCTTGTGCATACCCTTCTGTGATAACGTGGAAACGTTTTATATTTGTATGACCCCCTCCTGTGTGCCTCAGTTATATGATGCACTGTTAGCCAATGCGAGGAAGGTATGAAAGACTGTTTGCTCTCCAAGAGACAAGGCAGGCTGGGATCACAAGCATGTGTACTGCTTACCTGTCTGAGCCAGAATGGGTCATTAAAAAGGACTCACCAAGGCTGATCAGTTACCAGACACTGAAACCCAACAACCAGTGACCCAGAGGGAAATGGATTTCACCACTGGGAAGGTGTGAGCTGGGGGATAAGAGTCTGCTGTGGAAGGAGTCAGAGCTCTCACACAGGAACTGACCAAAGAGGTCAAACAGAGACAGACAGAGAGCACCTGAGCATGGCATTCATTCCAGCTAGGTCAGGCTCTGGCTAACTAGACTAGATCATACTTCAACCTTCAATTCTCTGTGCTAATCTACGCCTTTCCTGCGCTGTGTTCCAGCTGACTAATAAATCCCCCCTCTTTTGACAATGCTGCCGGAGCAGCACTGTAAGTGTGATGTAGTGTTGGTACCTTCCTGTTGCTATGCTGGGTGGTGGGCTGTGGGTGACCCCCACTGGCAGCTATTTGTAACACGGCCCAGCAGGACAGGGGATGAGTCATTATGTAAGGAGCTTCCAACCTGTCCGACCAGTTGGCTCCCAGGGAGGGAGAAAAAGGAAGGAGGACGAGGTCCAGCCCCTGGTTGGGGGGCAGGGCTGGAAGAGGGTTTTAGTTTTCTGTCTGGAATCATGGAGAATGCAGCCTAAGCAAGGGGCTGGGATTTAAGGTCCCAGTCTCCCCCATCTCAAGGGGGGCTGAGGCATCCTAGGCCTGGCCCTGTAACCGGATTACATCTATGCTGCGCTGGATCCTGGAGAAGCAATAAACTCCCTCTATTCTACCAGCTGGTGGAGTCTGTTCATGCCATTACGGGGGTGCAGGAAGCGGGGGAACCCCGACGCGCCACCACAGTAAGTAGTTAGCGAGGTGCGTTAATCTTCGAAGAGTGTACATCTCTACAAGAAGGCTGTGTCAGTCGGAATCACTGAACAGAGCTCATGGTGTGAAGCAGGAGTACAGAAGCCCCTAAGGTTCAGTCCTGGGAGCTGGTGTGGCCTATTCTGGAAGAAATGAGAGACCCCCTGGGGGTCTGGCGCACTAAAGAGACTGTTCCAAAGCTGGGGTCATAACATCGATCCTGTGGACACTTTTACAGACTCATCCTCTCCAAGTACATTCATGCAAAGACACATGCATTCACTTAGTGCACCGACCACCCCACCTCATCTGTATATTAATAACAATGTCTGCAAAACCTCCTACATGCAAACCCGCCACACCAGCAAAAAAACCCTCAATTGCTGGCTTCAGATATGCAAAAATGGGCTTCTGTAGGTGTGAGGCACACACAGACAATTTTCTAGACACCTCTTCTATCCTGCTTTGAAAATCTGGCCCTTGCATGAGTTATGAAATGTGAATATATTTGGCTTCAAGGCCACAGTGACATTTAGATGTTTGCATCTGACACAGTGTCATGGTGACATGATAACATCATGCACTCATGTGAGGCAGTGTGTGAAAATGAAGCAGCTGAGTCACCAGGCAGGATGCATACCAAGAGAGTAGGATCCCTTTAAGGTTAGGTCCATTGTGGCCCAATGCTACTGTAAGAGGCTTTATGGCTTAAGAGGTAATACTTACGCAGGCTCTTCCTACAACCCGGGCACCTCTATGGGCACCGAAGAGCTGTACCAGTGCCTCTCAGCTTGACCTGCACTTCATTGGGCTCTCTGCGCTACCTGGATGCCCTAGAGACCAGGAGATGTGGCATTTCTCTCTTGCCGGTGAAGAATACGAGAGTGAGCACATAGCAAGGGGGAAGGGAGACCCAGAGGCCTTTCTGACACATTTCTGAACCCTCTGATCTTAAAGACTACCAGAGGCCAAGGCACCCCCTTATCTGCTGCAAATCAAAACAGCCTTGGGGCTGCCTGGGGATGTACAGGGCATTATGCGCCAGTCCAACCCCCTCACAATTCTGCCAGTGCCCACTGCAAACCTGCTCCATAGAGTCCCCTATGCAAGGGGTAGGGACTATGTGAGTATTCCTATTATCTCGGGGAACCCTCACAACCACTGTCAATCCCCCTTGGGCTACTGGGGGTAGACCTCAGGGGGGCCAGAGGCTGCACGTGTGCAACTCTGGGGTGAGGGGGAGCATTGCCATGATTAAGTTAGCCTGCTATCTTGGCAGCAACCCCATTTCACAGAAGGAGCCATTGAGGCACAACACAGTGAGTGACAAACTCCAGGTCACCAAGTAAGGCTGGGTCCACCCTCTAGACTTCTGCCGACATTGGTCTGTCAGGTGTGCGTGGAGGTGTGATCCCTGACTGACAAGGCCAGGCCAGCAAAAGACCTAGTGAACATGCACTTTTAGCAGAAAAACTGATTTTTTTTATCAGTCTGGCTTATTTTGTTTTGGGGAGTTGGATGGTGGTGCTGGAAAATAAGCTATACCAGCAAAAGCACAGCTTTGCCAGGTTAGGCTGTGTCCCCCGTCTGAACACTTTGTGAGTATTGCACACTGGTACGGCTATCCCCGGCAAAGCACTCCTAGTGTAGACACAGCCTGAGACAATGGCAGTAGCACACAGAACTGAGCAGTCCTGATGCCCCCTAGCAATCTGTGTCACAACCACTCTTCTCTTCTGAGCCAGGCAGTCACTTTGCAAAGCCACAGAATTTCTGAGTTTGCTGGAGGAATGAGACCAACATATTCCTGAGAGCATTTTGGCAAGGATTCCAAAGATGCTCACCGTTCCCCTACACTTTGTGGTACACTGAATTAGAGAGAGAGCTGTAACTCACCGTAGCAGTAACTCAACTACAGTCCAAGCAATAAAACAACCAGGATTTTCCTTCCAAACTTTTCTATCCAATGCACTAGTGAATCTGGGACATGGAGACTCATATTAACTCAGCTGTAGTCACACTGGATTGCCATTGGTCTATCCAATGCACTAGTGAATCTGGGACATGGAGACTCATGTTAACTCAGGTGGAGTCACACTGGATTGCCATTGATGTAACAGATAGTTGAGTCGGCACAGGGAGCAGAAGCATGAACGGGAAGGTGACACTCTGCCACCAACACTGTCTTTGCTCTCAAGTGACAGTTGTGGGGCAGCACATTGTGGCATTAGGCAGCTGCAGAGCTGATTCTGAAACCCTTAAAACCGAACCACAGCACAGGTGGCTGCTGTGGACCGTCGTTCATTTGGTTACAACTCTGCTCTAGCGACAGCCCAGGCAGGCAGAAGGATGCTGTGGGACACCACACCAGCACACCCAGAAGTCTAGATGCTGCATGAGGAGCAAGAGAAAACCTGGAGGCAAGAACAGAAGCACGGCCCTGTCTGAAAAAGGAGTCAATATGGTTTGGTGAGTCAGAGGGAGCCAGGCATTCTGGATTCTGTTATTGGCTCTGTCACTGACCCGCTTTGTGACGTGATGTGACCAAGTGGCTATTTTCTGTAATATTTTAATTATGTCTTTGTGTGCCTCAGTTTCCCCCGATTGTGAAAAGGGTTAGAACGTGGCTCTTGTGGTAGGAAACACGAGGTGCTCCTTGGAAGAAAGGTGCAACTTAAGTACAAATATCACTATTATTCCATCTCCTTTGCAGCTGGTAGTCTGGAAAAAGGCATTCACAGGTCAGGGAAAGCTGTTTGTTCGACTCAAGTAACAATTCAGAGAATATTTGTGTCAAAAATCTCTAATTTTCCCTGGGTTTTCAGAGATTCAAAGTGTTTAATGCTCTCTGATAAACATGATATCCAGCCCAGGGCTGACGCATGGCATATTTGTGAATCATAATCCAGGACTTCGGTGACTATTCACTTGTTTAAGGGGATCAGTAAGAGGGGTCTTAGGAACCAGCAGGCACCCAAAGAGAGCAAAAACGAGTAATGTGCATGTTCCTACCTCTGAGCATTCTCACAGGTGAGATTCACAGCAGCTTCCTCTTTATCCACAGCTATCACCCGGCTCTGGCACAGAAAGAAACAAAACACGTTATGTGGCCCACAGGACTACTGTGGGCTAATGACTGGACCTGGGGCAAACGAGACAGATGATACATCAAGTGTCCCTCTGTCTTTCTCCCACCCTGCCTTTCTCCCACCTTTGGACTTACTCAGGGGCAGGACACTTTGGGGTTGCGGAGTCGCTCACAGTTTGGCCGTCGGCATGGCTGAATATTTTCACTACAGTTGCTAGCATTTTACTTTCATAAAAAGTCTTAGGGGGCCAGACCTACTATTGGTGAGAGTCAAGTGGAATTAGAGAAGCTACATTGATTAGTCTCAACTAACAATCTAGTCCTGAGTGTGTCTGTGAAGCTGGCAGGTCAGGTGCCAACATCCTAAGGTCACATTGAGCACTGATAAATGCATAGCTGGAAATGAGTCTGGCTCACCTGTGTGTTAGCAGTGTTAAAATAGATGTTACGTTTATACAAATATGTTTAGTGTTTGGATTGAATGATATGCTTGAGAGTTACTACCTGAATTAATCTTCCTTATAATAGCTGTATCCCATGGCAACAGTTACATGTTTGCTTTGTAATTATAAAAGTGTTTGCTATGAAACTGGAAACCACCAGAGTCAGGAGAGATGCCTGTTTACCACATACGGTGTTATCTCCTGCCCAACCCAGGTGAACCATCATGGAACATCAGTGGATAAAAAACTTTCCTGATTATCCCCCCCACACTCAGGGAGAGGGGACGTACAAAAACCTTCATCCCACCAAAGTTTGAACTCTGGGGAAATAAAAATTCCTGAGCAGAAGGGTCCGTGACTTCAGAGAGAGAGCAAGACTTTTAAGCATAAGCAAGGGATCTCCAGCTGTTTAGCATGGGTTAGTCCTAAAAGACATTGAGAGTGTGCAAATTATAGCACCTTCTATTGCCCTTTTCAACCTAAGACTGTAACTCGTGGGTGTGTGCATGTTTACTTGCTTTAACCTTGTAAATAAGTCTCATTTCCTTTTCCTAATTAATAAATCTTTGGTTAGTTTATCATAAGATTGTCTACAAGCTCCGTCTTTGATGAAAGATTTAAGGCACAATTGATCTGGGGCAAGTGATTGGTCCTTTGGGGCACAGAGTAACTTGAATATTGTTCAAAAGCTTCAGAGTAGCCGCCGAGTTAGTCTGTAACTGGAAAAACTTAAAAAACAACAAATTGTCTAGCTGTACCTTAAAGTCTAACAAAACATGTCAATGGTATCATGAGCTTTCGTGGGTACAACCCACTTCTTCAGATGAATATTGTTGTGATTTTTGATGCAGGGCAAGCTTTTCTGGTTGGCAAGATAGACTGAAGTGCCTAAAGGGACTGTCTATGATTCCAGGATAAGGCTGTTAGTAGTGCAGGAGTCCACACTTGATACTTGGTTGGTGAAATCTAATCACACAACCAGTCTGGGGCTCATGCCCCCGATCTGTGCTGCTGGCAACCACATTCATGAGCCATTCTAGACAGCCGGACAGTACCAACTGGTAACCTGGTACAGACAAGCGGGACAGAGAGACACACACACACACAGGGAAGATTGCTTCCTGGAGTCCTCATTTCTGATGCAGACAGAATCCATGCCCGTTAGGATTCTCACCCCAGCTTTAAAAGGAGCTATGGTGCACGATGGGACAGGTGAGCTCTGTAGAGAGCTCCAGCCTCACTGGAAACCATGTATGAAAAGTTGCTGGCAACTTAACGTCATGCAGTCCCTGAGGGCCAAAGTCAGCCTTGCTGTGCGTAAACATCGTAGACACTAGTATGTTTTTGGGGTGCATGAGTAGGCAGAGAACTAAGGTGGCCTATTTGCTCAAAGCTCATGTATGTTGGCCAGCTGGGGAAGGGCTGATGTCCAAGTCAGACTGACACAGTCATTTATGTCTGATGGGCCAGGAAAGCAGTGTGGTGCTTGAGCAGTGAAACCAGAGCAATTTATCATTTGGCCTAGTGGAAATTAATCAGCCCAACAGGTCACTAAGTGAAGGGATGTGACAGGCAAGGGCCCCTTGGCAAGGTGTGTATGGGAGGGTGTCTGGCTTCGTGCTCCTGGAAGGGGCAAGGATGAGGTAGGCAGCCCGCAGAGCCGGAATACACTGCACTGGGCCCCTCAGTCGGCCAAGCAGTGTCCCAGTGTGATTGAAAGGGCCGGAGGCTCTGGTTGCCGCCCCTCCTGTGCTAGTGGCAGCTATGAGCCTCAGGTCCTTTTGAATCTCCGGGTCCTTGTGCAACTGCCCCCTTTTCCCCACAGTCTCTGTCAGTGGGCCTGTGCATACATGGCCTCCCATAGACCTTACACACTAACCTTCATGCTTCATTTCAGTGGCCAGCCAGGACAGTTGTAGCTTGCAACAGAGCACTGGCAAACCTTAGGCAGGCCAGACTAGCATCCTCCTGCAGTGTGACCTCACATGTGGGCAGAGGACACCATTTTGCTCCACTAACAGCATCCTCCAAGAGAGCTGGACAGAACAGTCTGTGGGCTAGATGCAGCCCATGGGCCACCAGGTGGAGAGTACCCAGCTAATAAGCATGCAAAGCATCCCTTGCAGAGGCAGCAGGCCACCAGCTCTTCTCCAATGGTATTAATCAGCCATGGTGAGTCTGTGGGATGAACTGAACTCCAGATATGGAGCAGCGCTTTCCCTCCAGGGTACGTGGGCAGGGACCTTGTGCTATTTCCCCCCTCCCGGAGCACCGAGCAGGGATTACCCATTGCGGTCTGAGGGGAGGTATCACGCTGACTGACAACCTGAAAGCAAAGTCACTTAGCAACCCCAATCCTTTCTTTGCCTCTGATGCCCCCTTTGCTGGGGAGGGGCTATGTTACTCGGAAGGGACAGGCACTCGGCAGCGGTTAGGCAGCTCCTGGACTGTGACTGCTGCTCATCGCATTGTGCTCTTCTGTCTGTCTCACTTTATCCCTTGATGGTTGGCTCTGGGGGACAGGGGCCATCTTTGTGCTATGTGTCAGTGCAACACCTGGAGCCAGGGGACTCTGTGCTGCCATGACAGAAAGGCTGGAAAAAACTCACTCACCTGGGGCAGTTTGTTCAGTAAACTCAGTGCAATGGCCCCCGAGCCACAGCCGATCTCCAGGATCACGGGGTGAGGGATGGCGGTGGGGCACCGGTGACCTGCATTAACCGCAGGGCTCCCGCTCCTCTGGGATTTTTGCAGCACTAAGGAGACGAGATCCTAGCAGAGAGGGGATAGTGACTCAGACCCTAGTTCTGCGGGAACCTGGCAATGGCTGTAATATCTGAGAACAGGGGAAGACAGGGAGAAAGAGTTTTTCTAGGAGCCAGCTGTCTGCACACTGAACCCTTTTTGCCTGGGCATCCCAGCATTTTCACCACACCCCCTGCTTTGGAAACCAGATTAAAGTGGATTAAAGAGCAGAGGAGGCAAAACTGCTTTGTTCATCCGCCTTTGCTGGTTAGTCCACACCACAGACCAGTTTGTGGCATCACAGCAAGCTAGTGTGGAAACAGGTAAGATGTTGCAAAGAGGTGAAGAAATAAGCAGCTTTAGCAGACAAGCCCTTAAGAAATGAGGATCCTGTTTCCAGGCAGCTATCCCTAACAATAAAGGAGGACTAGCAGGACTGGGAGAGGTCAGCTGCCTTCCTAAGAAACCTCCAGAAACAATTTTGTAAAAGGTCTGAGCTGCTCTACCTCCCATTAAAGAAAGAACCCTTCACACGCGCTGTCCCAAAGCAAGAACTGGAGCGTGCAGCTGATGAGCAGTTTGGCTTGTTTCAATGTTTCCCTGACCTGGGCCTGACCGTGGGAAAGGAAGCTTGACTGGCCTATTGTCAAGGGGAGCTCCTTGCCTGTAAGTTCCTCTTGCAGCAGAGCTAGAGCGCTTGCTGCTGACCTCAGGACAGAGCGTACCACGTATTAGTCTACGAAGTGCTGTTGATCAGCCATGTGAAAAAACTGCCCCCGGCCAACAGGAAAACCCTCCTGTGCAGACATGAGGGGCCTGACATCTTCAATCTAGCTAATGTCAGTCAGGGAGGTGGCGTAAATCAGAAAAACTCCTTCTGTTGCATAACCTGCACCTTCCTAGGGGACTCTGCAGATGTGCCTCCTCCGGGAAAGGGAGCGTTCTCAAGACAAGGCCCCTCTCTTGGACCGGAATCACCTGGTTTGAGGAGACTGGCAGCAGAGGTGAAGCAGCAACTCCTTCTCACACCCTCAAAAAGTGTGGTCAACCAGGGTGCCCTTCATGCTAGCTGGCTCTGGTCACTGGGGGAGATACTCACAAGAGCTCTCCTGTGTGAGACAGACACGCTAATCACAGGGACTGAGTACAGAATAGTATTTCCTTCTCACTCTAAGTACCAGTACTCTGGTATTGCCAGAGTATTTCCTCATGGAACTCTTCCAAGTCTCTCTCCAACCACAAATGCCGTTGCTCACTGTTTTCTTCTTTTGCTCTCAAGTGGGCATATTCCTAGTCTAGTGTTATGGAGTGATCCAAACAATATCCCTGGAGCAGCCTCTCTCTTCCAACTCAGCCTAAAAACCTGGATTTGGCTGACCTGAAAATGTATCTCATTGTTTTTCTGCTTTTCCTCTGGCACCGCTTCTACCCTAGGTCCAGTCCTCCTTGAGACCAGCAGTCCCACAGCTGTCAGATGTCATGCAGTGCCTGGCATTTCCCGTATTTATGAGCCACAGATTTCTCCTGCATCTGGATCATCTCAGCAGTCACCTGCTCATGCAGGTGCTGGTGCCATTGCTTCTTTACCTGCCGGGCTCCATGGAGGCTAACCCAGAACTTTCTCTGAAGAATGACACACTCCTTTTCCAATGTGTTGATTCACAGGCACAATCAAGTGGCTTCTCTCCTCTGCAACCAGCTCTTTTTGTCTGTCTTCTAGTAGCTAGGGTTGCTCAGCCAGTTGCAAGGAGAAGCCAGCCCTTGAAGCTTACCCCTCAGTATCAGTTCCTGGGGCAACCCCAGGCTTCACCAGGACTTCAATATCTTACTTCCCCGGTGACAACCCCTTGGTCCAAAGTTCTTAGAGGGCAGCATCTTCTAATTGGACCCCTTCCCCCAAGCTAATTTACCAGTTACCCAAGGGCATTGCTCTTCTTGTGTCCCAAGTCCTTCCTTCAGCTTTTGTAGCTGTCTGAGTCCACAGCGCCCAGATGGCCAGCAATCCAGGTACCCCAAAGGCAGACCTGACTTACACGCCCATCTTGGCAACAGCCTGTGCACCTGAATGGCACGGACACGTCTCCTCCTCTTGCAGCAGCTGTGGCAGGCCAGCCTGTCTAGTTGCTGCCATTGCTGAATCTGTCACCAAGCCAGAGACTGGGGCATCTGGGAACAATACCAGATGTTCTGTCACTCGGGAAGGGGGGGAGGGGGGCACAAGTTTCACAACCAGGGCCAGCACAGGCACCAATCTGCACTCTCATGCTTCCTGGACAGGGCAGGGGACGATGGATTTGCTGGGCCCTTGGGCAAGGTGGGGAAGGGGCTGGCTCTGTGCTTCTGGAAGGGGCAGGCCCTTGAGCAAAGGAACGGGGCTGAGGGAAGCCAGCCCTCAGTGCCACCTGGAGCACACACAGTCCCCCCAGGCAGCCCTCAGAGCTGCCAAGAGCCACCGCCCAGGGAACCAGCGGCAATTTAAAGAGTCTGGGGCTCCAGCCACTGCTGCTGCTGTAGCAGCAACATCTGCGTCCAGGAACCGTGGGCCCTTTTGAATCTATGGGCCCTGGGGCAGTAACCCTCCCCCATTGGTGGGTTTGCTCCTTGATGGGGGGGCATTTTCAAGGTACCACCAGCAAAAGTGTGGGGTGTCCCTACTCGCACCCTGTGGCACAATCTGGCACTGCAGATGTGCCCTACGTTAACTCCTCCTGCCTGGGGTTTCAACAGAGTCACTGAAGAGTTTGCACAGCCAGCAGCTGCTGTTGGATTGCAGTGTTTCCATACATTCATTGTTCTGCTGCAGCTGGGTCATTACAGGTCCCCTCTATGGACACTGTGTTCCCGAATAAAAGTGACTATTCTAGAATTCCTGGAGAGAGTGTCCTCCAATGGCAGCTATGCTAGGAAAGCCTTTGCCAGATATTCCACTACCACTGTGCCAGTCAGCTTCCCCAAGCAGACAAACTCTTGGTAAACAGTCTTGTACTCAGATGGGAACTGCATTCCCCAAATCCTACATCATTAGACTGGAGCTTCTGTCTGGGGAGTAGCAAAAGAACAGAAGAGCAGAAAAGAGATGCCAGCACATCACATAGCCAGAGAGAAACTGAGCACCAACCTCACCCCTTTATGCTCCAAGTACAAGCTACATTTTTCTGAATTTTCATTCCCTCCCATACACACACAGCTATAATTATACCAACCTCTCCCCCTTCTAAAGCCCATCAAAAACCCCTCTTCACTGCTCATGCTGCTCCCCCTGGCAAGAGGCTGAGAGAACACACGTGACAGGTTTTAGGTTGCTTAATGAAATACTGGAAAGTGCCCAAATACTATGGTAATATGCACAGTATAAGAAATTGACTTAGACACGATATAAGACTGGAATCAGAGGCTTCTCAATTGGCTTTACATATTAATTATACAATACCTACTATATATTCTCACATTGAGAGTTTTCACTGAGCTAATTACTGCTACAGAATGCAGATTTCCTTTTGTAACCTCAGTCCACCAATCTAGCAGACAAAAGCATAACAAAGATCCAACAGCTGGAAGATGAAGTCATGAAAACTAATTGGAAATCACTGGAAACATTTTAACTATCAACATAATTAACCTTTGAAACCGATTATCAAGGGACATGGTGAATTCTTTTAAGCTGGCTCCCCCCCCCCCCGTGCTGCTGCCTCTGTGGGAGGCAGCGGGTGTGTGTATGTGCATGTTACCATGCAGGTTAACCAATGAGTCCAGGCTTACTGGGTAACTGTGTGCAGAGTACATGTTAACATCCCTAATTTAAATAGATGAAATCATGAAATTTACCATATTTAAAATCCTACGACTGTGAAATTGACCAAAACGGCCCATGAATTTGGTGGGGCCCTAGCCATAGCGAGAATCCAAATGCTGAATCTGAACTAGCCATATTTGGACCCATTTCCACTCTTTTCTAGAGACACACTGCACACCCCCAAGATATCTGACCATCTTGTTGTCATGAATGGATTTATTCTCACCACACTCCTGTAAAGAAGTTCTACCCTGATGTTACAGAGAAAGAACTGAGGGACAGGAAATCGGTGGCTGAACCCAGGGCTCCATTGTCCTGATCCCCCATGTCATTCACCAGACCATCCTTCCTCTACTAGCTTTCCACTAGACAAAAACATTCATGGAAGCAGCAAATTTAAGATTCAAAGTATAAGCCATAGCACAGATCAGAGGGGGAAAAACTCACAGTCCCTCCGAGCCACATATGACAATCTTCAGAAGTTCAAGAGCTAGGGCACATCTGCCAGGGGTCGGGGTTTTAATACTGCTGTGTATTAAAAACCTGAGATACACATTAACAAATCACCTTAGAAATTTGACCTAGTTAGGTATTTACCCCCGGGCACTGGAGAGGCATGTTATCCACTTGATGGACAAATGCTCAATTATGGGACTACTAAACTGCAAATTACTGCATCAGAGCCAGTGCGTGTGCAGCTCACACGCTCAAAATCCTGCTGACCTGCGTCACTGCCACACGTAGTGGCAGAGGTGTTGGATTTATGCTTCTCTCTGTGCAACCAAGGGCGTGTGAGGGAAGATTGTTTAAAAGAAAATCCCTCTCCTACTCCTAAGGATCACCTGCACCTTTGCTCTGGCACGTAGCAATCTTGGGGGGCGGGAGGTCTCGGACATCTTCCTCTCCTCTTGCCAATGCAAAAGGGACGTGGGCACCCTTCGGCATTACCCACAGAGCTGCTAACAGCCTTCAAGGAAAGACTGTCCATTTCTCCCCAAGGCGAAATCCCTGACTGAGCCACAGCAGCAGGGATGGCTGCAGAAGGGTGAGAGAGAAGAGGCTGGTGGAGTGCAGCAGAGAGGGCAGGATTCCCACCCAAGGAGGGAAGCAGTGACAAGAGATGATGGGCTGGACTGGAGGAGCATTGAGGGTGGAAGTGTCACTCCCAGGACAGAAGCCTGGAATTTCCCACCCCAGACAAACAGGGGGAGAGCTTAGTGCCCAGACCTGCAGC